GGGGGGGGTTTGATTTGTTTGAAGTGACCTATTTCTATTGCATGAAAGTAAATGAACTTTGAATTTAAATGAGAATAGCAGGGATGAAGTATCAAAGAGTGGAATTAAAATGTAACAAACACTAGGGTTTCAGAATCCACCCTAAACAATTCCATCCATGTTCATGGATACTCAAGTGATGAACTCTAAACGTGTTGTTGAAGATGTTCGCAATCAAGACCAGTACGAGTGGCTCAAGACGCATTGATTCTCTCTAATGTATGTAAAGTGCATGGTTCGTGCTACAATACTTGTGCCCTCCCCATAACCGAACCTAGGTATGGTTCGTACTTCGATTCAATTACAAGGAGAACCCATTAAGTTCAAAGAGAATATGAACATCACAAGAACCCTAATAGCATGGTGTTTACATTAGGTATTCAAGAAACCAATTCACATGGATGATTCTTACTTCATCCATTTATTGCTTAGGATAACATGAAGATACACATAATCCCAACAATCTCAAGAAGCATGCTTTCAAAGGTGATCAATCAAAGAAGAACATACATCAAGGATAGATTAATTTGGTGAATTGGAATTCATCAACAATATCTAGAAATTCATACACTCAAGCATCAAAACAATAAGGTAATCATGTTTAGGGCTTCAACCTAAGCCCTAGCTATGGAGTTTAGTTCCTCATAATCATTTCAAACACAAATTCGAAATTTAACTAGAAAGAGTTTACAGATTTGGAAATGATGAAAGCTTGAAGTCTTCAATGGTGGAAGCTTTCTTCTCCACTTTGCTTGGCTGCACCTTGTTCTCCTTCCTTCCAGCTCTCCCCAAAATCTGCTCAAAGTTTCTACGTACCAGCCCTCTCCCTTTCTTCCAAAACTAAATGATACCCCAAATCTGATTGCAATCCCTTTTGACTTCTGCCCCTTCTTTCCTGCTCACTTTTAATATAAAACTTATTCTTTCTCTAAAGCTTTTGCCCATTGTACCCTTGCCATTATGAAGCTTTGTCCTAGAAAATATGCTCTAGCCATCAGAAAATATCTCTTTTTCTAAGGTGAATTCTTGTTACCAAGTGTTGTGGTAACAAGAAGAATCAAGTGACACAATGGAGGTAAAAGCTGGACAATTCCGGATTTCCAGAGCTGTGGTAACATGTTGGATTGGATGGATAGGCAATACTTGTCCACTGGAGCTCAAATTTGGATATGTTGTAGTTAACATCCATTGGAACAAGTCTCATGAAGATCATGACCTCATCCGAGCACCAGAGCATGTTGATCCCAGGCCAAGAAGTTGACCTACGAAAATGAAAAAAAACAGAATTTATAACCAATAATGCACTTTTAGCTCATTTTCATTCCAACCAAGGAAAAATCTAAGAAAACACAAAAAAGGAAGTAAAAAGCTATAAAATGTCAAGAACTAACTCAAAATAGTGGGTGAATAACATGAAAAATCATGTGTAAAAATGAACCGAACAGTGACCGTCACACATATGACATATATACGGGAACTATATATTAGTCTGATTTACGGTTCCTTTTTCAGTGTTTTAGAACACACCTATTTCCTAACACAGTTGCATTCAACGGTCATTGGTTTGTCACTGACTCACTAGAAAGATGTTCCTCCGTCTGCTCTGTTTAGATTAGAAATTAGACAGGCACAGGGCCTCCCCAGTTGAATCAGTGCATCGCTTTGCATAATCAAATTTTAGCATTGTTAATGTTCACATAGAAAAAAGAAGAAAAGAAGAAAGAGTAACTTATACAATATCGCTCAAACTCCAGTTATTATCCCTACCTATTTTTCTCATCCCTTGTATCCACATATAACACATTGCGTCTTAATAATATACATTAAGTTATGCCTAAGAATCAATCTCTTCAAGCTCCACATGACGTCCACAATCTGAAACAGATGAGGACGAAGATTTGACATTCTTTCCTTTGCCATCCGAAGATGCTGATGGCCCCGTGTCCATGCTTTCCTTCGGTTTTGGCTTCTGTAAAGTTTGGAGCTGATTCTGCAGGATCTGTAGAAGAAAGCTTTTGGGTTTTTTGTTTTGTAAATTCCTTGCTAGGTTTGCAGATTTCATATTCTTGAAGTATGCAGAGATATGCCCTTATTCTCATATGCATCTGAAAATAAAGAATGGTCGTTTTTGTTGAATTATTTTGACTCAATTCCCCAAATTCAGAGTTGAAAACTTGTTCAACTATTGCATTTAACCAGGAATTTCATTCAAAACTCAAGAACTCTACGGGTTGGTCTTTCTTACTCGATACATTGACTTGGTTATCAAGTATCACTCCTTGTATAACACTTTAGGGAAGCTCATCTTTATTGGAACTTCTCTTGCCACGGTCTGGCACATGAGGTACCATAAAGTAGTGAAGGAAACCTACAACAAAGATCAAGATACTTTCAGACATTAGTATCTCATCCTTTTATGCTTGGGGCTGGCTCTTCTGATTCCGCGTTCTTTTACAGTAATTGAGGTACGAGGCATTTATCCTCCTCTTTCTTATGCCCTTATTGATCAGCTTATTATGCCTTTAAATGAATCACCTTCCACTGCCAGTTGTTTGGAAAGAAAGCTTGCATCCAGTTTTCTTTTTTTAACCCCCATCAGTTTGTATGATGCTGTTACTTTTTACTCACATCTGATAGAAGCTTTGATCTATTCTGTTGTAATAGGTTCTGTGGGCATTTTCAATATATCTTGAAGCCGTAGCAATCTTACCACAATTGGTTTTACTGCAAAGGTCAAGAAACATTGATAACTTAACTGGAAACTACGTTTTCCTTCTTGGGTATGTTCCAATTCCCATGAGGCATAAAAATGAATTTGCTTTTGTAATATCCACTTTCTTATCTGCAATGCAACTTGATTACAACTAGTAAGGATCATAGATTCACTTCTACTACCTTGTTTATGCTTTTCGGATTAAATTTATTATCTGTGGTGTTATATTTGTTTGGTAACTGTGTCTCTGTGCAGTGCTTACCGAGCCCTATATCTTCTCAATTGGATTTATCGTTTCTTCACAGAGCTTCACAGAGTTCTCTGGATACGTAAGTTCTCTTTTATAGCTTGCACTTGATACTCTTGTATCCCATTTTAGCTAAAAAGTGATGCAACGAATTATAACTTGTTGTCAAATGCCCAAAACAGCTTTGGTTTCAGGCCTTGTTCAGACTGCTCTTTATGCTGACTTTTTCTACTACTATATTAAGAGGTAACTTCATTATTCTACTCTTTTGTCTTTAATTGTTCCCCTAAGAATAGTTTGTTTCATTTCCGTGTGTGCGTGGAAGCCAGAAACATGTTGGAATACCTAGCAAGGGCTTTGCAAACTTGTTTCCATGCGCATTGTTAAAAACCAGCATATCTGATCTAGCTTCTAGGAACATGATTGTTTGCTGCTTGAAAATGGCACCAATACGTGAAACCAATTTTGATAATGAACTTTGAGTGCTGCTATTTCCTACTAACAACAAGCTACTCTGATTTTTATTCAGCTGGAAGAAACACGAGGAGCTTAAGCTTCCTGCTTGAAATGGATCATTCTGGATGTGTAATTTCCACTAACACAAAAGCAATGGATACATACTTGAGGATGTAGAACCATCCTTGTCATGGGATTTTCTCGCTACATGCATTAATATTGTAATTTGTATAGTGCTGCAACATTTTCCAGGACTATCTAATGCATCTGCATCATCTATCATACTTGTTTTGGAATCAATCTGGAGGAAAATAAAAAAAGGAAAACAGGATTATAATAAAAGAAATGGTTAATTATCTACCAACCAATCACCCGCACTTACATTTTATGTGTTTAACCCTTTGATTTGTTTACAATATGTGCCTTGCCGCCTTCATCGTCACAAGCCCTTCACTTGAATTTGCACGCTAGCTCCTCTTGATCATCAAAAATCTGGAATTCTCTTTGGTTCCCAATTTTAAAGTATATCAATTTATATAAGGTGTATAAATCAAGACACATAACCATGTTGAAATATATAGAGTTAAGCATTTAGTACACGATATATTCTTCTAATTAAGCGACAAAACTCTGAATAATATATTATTATTATTATATACCTCAGTTTCAAGGAAGAAACAAGGAGGGAGCAAATGTATTTGGTCATATGTATACCGAGCCTAACCCTTGACCTCCGAATAAAATAACTAGAGTTGAGATTCAATGCCGCGTGAAAGGAAGAAACGCGGAAGGAGCGCATGCAAGTCCTTTTCTTCAATACATCATTGAGCCCTGTAAACTTGTATAAAACCACAATTTCACTTAGGAGCTGACACTTGAGACTTGAAACTTGAGAGAGAGAGAGAGAGAGAGTAAGAATATGCTGAAACTCTCTTGGTTTACCTTAGCTTCATTGTTTTTGTTGGCAGCATTATCAGAAGCCAACAACTCCAAGCCTGGTCGCCAAAAAGAATGTGAGAATCTCACAGCTTCCTACCAATTTGACATTGGGAAAGGAGGATCATGTTCCATGGACGAGTATTGGTTTGACACAGTAAACTGCAGCAGTTTCTATATCCCACTAAAATCATTCTTGGGAAGAAGTAATATTATTGAGGTGGGACAACTTTCTCCATCCCAGGTACGAGTAAATAACTCAGTTGCTTATAGCTGCAACACCATTAAAATGGGAGCAATATTAATGTTGTTGTACTCTAGTTCTACTTCTCATCATGTTGCTGCAGTGGACTTGAGTACTGGCAGCACACAAAACACAATCGCTGAGACTGTGAACTTGACTGGCACCCGGTACGCAATCTCCGACTCTGCAAACAAGTTCACAGTAATACACAAGGGTTGTGACTACTTTGGTTTTATGGGAGGGTCAACTAAGGTGCTCAGCGGATGTGACAAGGTATGCAACATGATGAACACTTCGACTCATCATAGGTGGTCTTCTGGTAGTAGTGGCTGTTGCAATTCTTCCACTCCCAAAGCCATTAATAAGTCTCTTGTGTCTGAGGCAGAGACAGAGAGTATGGGAAACATTAGTTTCTGGTTTATCATATGAGTAGCTGCAGCAAACGAACCAGGTTCAGGCTCATCTTTCCTATGTTGATGGTAGGAGACATGAACAGCACACGACAAGATGCGCTCATCATGTTTCCATCATCCTATTCCTGAGAAGTCTCTAGTTCTCCTAAACTATATCCAACTACTCCCAGAATCCACACACGTACGAAACTGGAATACCTCATGAAAATTGGCATAGGTTCTTCGGACACACATCTATTGGACACATTCCAGACTATGACCCGGAAATATAATTACCGCAGGAAAGCAGACGTGCTCGAGGTTACATCCCACAACATATCAAAGTCTTTCCATGCTCGGCAAAGCACACTCTAGGTAAGCAAGTCCTCTGCTCTAGTGTACAAATTGACAAGTGCTATGCTCCCTTTAACATTGAATTAAAATGTAACCTTGCAGGTCTCGGCTTTTGTTTCGCATGTCTTTCATTTGTGATATCTGGAATTTATTTCAGTGTGAAGAAGCATAAGTTTATTAAGCTAAAATCCAAATTCTTCCAGAGAAATGGAGGGTTATTGTTAGAGCAGCAAATTGCTTTACATGGAGGCACAACAATTTTAACAGCCGAGGAACTAGATATGACTGCTGACTGTTATAAGAAGACTCACATTTTTGGTTCAGAGACAGTGGAACTGGAACATCTCAAAAAGGACTATCGCCAGAAAAAGTAGTGGCGGAGGGCCAAATTGAGCGTTTTATAAGTGAAATTCTCACTCTTACTAAAGTAAACCATCAAAATGTGGTGAAGTTCTTGGGCTGCTTGTTCGGTTCATTTTTACACATGATTTTTCATGTTATTCACCTCTTATTTTGAGTTAGTTCTTGACATTTTATAGCTTTTTATTTCTTTTTTGTGTTTTAATAGGTTTTACCTTGGTTATAATGAAGATGAGCTAAAAGTGCATTATTAGTGATAAATTCTGTTTTTGTTCATTTTCGTAGGTCAACTTCTTGGCCTCGGATCAGCATGCACCGGTGCTCGGATGAGGTGAAGATCTTCATGAAACTTGTTCCAATGGATGTTGACTACAACATATCCAAATCTGAGCTCCATTGGATAAGTATTCCCTATCCAACCAATCCAGCATGTTACCACAGCTCTGGAAATCTGACTTGGCCAGTTTTCACCTCCACTTAGTGTGATCTTACTTCTACTTGTTACCATGCCATTTGGTAACAATAATTTACTTTAGTTAAGTGGAATTTTCTGAGAGTATATTTGTGAGGAAAAAACTTCATCATGAGAGGAGACAAGAAAACAAAGGCAAAAGTGTGCCATGATGAAAGGAGGAAAGAGAGGAGCATAGAGAGGAATCAATTGACTTTGGGCAGATTGGAAGGGCAGCAGCTAAGCAACGTATCATTCATTCTATTATTCCAGAATTGGCAGAGATTTTGGAGCTGGAGATGAAGCTTGGAGCTAGGGAGCTCAAGGAGGAAGACAAGGGCAACAAAGCAAGAAGTGGAAGAGAGTTCCACCATTGAAGACCTTGAGCTCCCATGTTCACAAAATCTGTAACTTCTTTCTAATTTTGTTTTGAGTTTGTATTTGGAATAAGTATGAGCAACTAAACTCCATAGCTAGGGCTTAGGTTGAAGCCCTAAACATGAATACCTTATTGTTTTGATGCTTGAGTGTATGAATTTCTAGATATTGTTGATGAATTCCAATTCACCAAATTAATCTATCCTTGATGTATGTTCTTCTTTGATTGATCACCTTTGAAAGCATGCTTCTTGAGATTGTTGGGATTATGTGTATCTTCATGTTATCCTAAGCAATAAATGGATGAAGTAAGAATCATCCATGTGAATTGGTTTCTTGAATACCTAATGTAAACACCATGCTATTAGGATTCTTGTGATGTTCATATTCTCTTTGAACTTAATGGGTTCTCCTTGTAATTGAATCAAAGTACGAACCATACCTAGGTTCGGTTATGGGGAGGGCACAAATATTGTAGCACGAACCATGCACTTTACGTATATTAGAGAGAATCAATGAGTCTTGAGCCACGACCCATGGTCTTGATTGCGAACATCTTCATCAACAAGTTTAGAGTTCATCACTTGAGTATCCATGAACATTGGTAGAATTGCTTAGGGTGGATTCCGAAACCCTAGTGTTTGTTACATTTTAATTTCACAATTTGATAATTCATCTATGCTATTCTCATTTAAATTCAAATTCCATTTACTTTCATGCAATAGAAATAGGTCACTTCAAACAAATCAAAACCCACACGTGGTGTGTCTTTGTTACTGAATTTTATTTGTTTCCGTAATTGTTTTGAACCTTTGGTCTGCCCTGTGTTCTTCGTTTTTGTGTGCTGAATCCAACCGTATAAAGAACGTGAAATTTGGATAAACGGTTAGAAAGTTATAGGCAAAACACTGGACAGAGGTCGAAACTGAAAAACAGAGAAACGAATCTGCCCAAAAACGACCGGTCATCACTGTTCACGCGACCGGTCGGCACTGTTCACGGCACTGTTCACTGTTCACGGCACTGTTCACTGTTCACGGCACTGTTCATGTCACTGTGGCGATAGAAAATGTTGTTTGTGTTTTTCTTTAGTTTTCTTGTGTTGTTTCATTTCTTTTGCACTTCTTTACTTATTTTTTTCCATTTTGCATTTGCGTATTTGTGGTGTGTCAATTAAGTGTTCTTTACGTACTCAAATTAGAACTTATAGGAAACCGACAAGTTCTTCGTGGGATCGACCCCGTACTTACATAATCTATACTTCAATAGATTCGTGCACTTGCGGGTATTTTTAATTGGTTGTTTGCACATTAATTTGTGTCCTCTTAGGAATGCAACACTGCTGTTTAGAGACTGAAGCTCCAGTATTGGTCTATGAACTCGCCTGCAATGGGACCCTGTTCGACTACATTCATCATACCAATGAGAAAAGTTCATTGCCTTGGGATATCCTTTTGAAGATAGTCACAGAATCTGCAGTTGCTCTTGCGTATCTTCATTCTGCGGCAGACTCATCAAAACAAATGATCATTCATGGAAATGTCAAGTCTTCCAACATACTTTTAACTGATTGTTTCATGGCCAAAATCTCCGGTTTTGGACCTTCAAGGTTGGTCCCTAGTACTGAATCCCAGATAAGCACATTGGTTCAAGGGACACTTGGTTATCTAGATCCGGAGTATCTCCATACAGGCCAGCTGACAGACAAGAGCGACGTTTATAGCTTTGGAGTCGTCTTGTTAGAACTTTTAACTGGGGAGATGCCCGTATCCTTTGATAGACCAGAAAATCAAAGAGTTATAATGCCCTATTTCCTTTTGTCTGCAGAAAAATGTGGCCTCTTTCAGAATGTTGGGCCACAACTTGTAAATGAGGGAAGCAGAGAACAAGTCAGAGCAGTTGCGGACCTTGCTAAGAGCTGCCTCAAGTTGAGTAGAGCAGAAAGGCCAACAATGGAACAAGTGGCCAGGGAGCTACATAGGCTATCCAACACGTATCCTAGAGTTAAAGTTGACAGCCATGACACTGAAAGTGAAAGGTTTTCTAGAGCTGTACCCAGTGTGGATCCAAACCGTGCGTAAAAGTCAGAATCGTTGCATGCCGGGAGGCTGATGATCTTGTGAGATGGTTCTTTGTTGGCATGTTAGGCAAATGCAGAACAGAGACAAACAGGGCTATAGAAAGGATGTGCGACAGCTACTTTGAGTTTTTCCCCTTATTTTCTTCCTTTGTTGTACATGGTTTGCTTCTCAAATTAGGTGTTGTTTTTAATTATCCATAAGCTTATGTGGTTGGGAGCTTTCTTTCGGACAAAGTATTCTGATAGTTTAACCCATAGGGACCAGTATTTGAAAATATTTGATTTCTTAGACAGTTGCAGGTCTAGCTAATAAATAACACTCAATTCTTTGGAACAAATCATACAAGGCCAGGTAAATTTTTATGACTACATGCTGCCCTTATTTATTCCCATGAATATACAGCCAGCGCAAGCTCTATAGCAAGTAATTAGCATGGTGGCATTCCTGGTGGTGGCGGTAAAATATGGGCTGCTAGACCCTTTCAATTTTCACTATGAAGTTGAACCATACCAAGAGCCAAGGCAATCTCTACTCAGCAGCCACAGCAAGGTTGGAAGAGGCAGGATCAAAAGAAACAGAGCAAAGCCTACTTCTCACAGTGGTGAATGGTGGTGACAGACTTAAGAACCATGAGAGGAGGCTTGTTAGAGTTGAAACATTCCAGTACCTGGTAGTGGAGGAACGTTTCTGTCACTAACAGCAATACCTGGAAAGGCGAAGCTTCTTGACAATAGTAGACAGAGGATCTCCCTCCCTTCCATTGTTAAGAAGCCCAAACAATAAAATTTGGCCAAGGTTGCCTCAACCAGTGAATGCCACACTTACCCAAAAGTCTAGCCCGAATAGCATCACAATAAGAACAAGCAAAGAAAAGGTGACTGAGATTCATAAATTATATTGCCAGGACACAAACATGACTAGCAGAGGGACACTTCCTTTCAATTTATTATAACTGCCATGCTCCATAAACCCAATGTTATGCAACTTGTCAAGAGCCCTACCACAGATGAAAAGTGAAAGGTTATCTTGAGTTGTGAGGCTGGTGATCTTGTGGGATGATTCTTTGTTCACATGTGCGGCAAATGCAACGAAACAGAGACAAACAGGGTAATGGAAAGGATGTGTGGTAACTACCTTGAGATATTTCCCCCCGTTTTGTTCTTCCTAATGTGATGCTGCACCCGAGTTGAAATGCATGAATTCTTATTCCATCGACAGCATACCATTTCCACCTTGTTGGTCATGCACGTTTAACCAATCTATCAGAGTGCAATACTTCCCTGCTCTTCTGCTTCCAACATGTATTCCATCCTTTTATTGCAAGGATCTCCGCCCCAATTGCACCAACAATATCATCATTATCCACCACCTTCCCACCAATGCAGATTGACATCATCTGACGCCATTCGAATTCCACATCAATAGTTGTACATCCAATAAACCCATTTCCATATTTCGATTTCTCCCACAACTTTATGATATCCATTTGAATGCAAAGCACTCAAATGTTAATCCAAGTGTTAAAATGGACATCATGAAGGTGTATGAGAAACTGAAATTTGGGAATGGGGTCGATTGATGTCTATTTGCTAAGATGGCAATGTGGTGGACAATCATGATATCGTTTCAGCGAGAAAGAAATGACAAAACGTCTTCTTGGTGCAATTGGGCGGAGGTACTTGCAGTGAAGCATGGAATACAATCTGATAGATTGGTTAAACATGTAAGCAAGGAAGGAAATGGTATGTTGTCGAGCGGGAATGATGGCATCTAAGGTACAACTCATGAACGTATCTCCACATATAAGATGCATGGACTAATGATAAGGAGGTGATAGTCCTAGACTCTTAGTTGTACCCGTTAAAATGGTAATTGCATGAAATTATTCTCTGTGTTTACTTTAAAATGTAATTGAGTGAAGGTTAAGGCTGTCCTTTTGAGGTAGTTATCCGTTTAAACATACAACTTTAGAACATACTCAAGCCCTAAACCACTTTTTTGCCCATTTCTGATTGGCAATGACCTAACCCACACTTTATTATAAAAGCTAAACCAAATTTATTGAGGAATAGATGATTTTACAGACAAAATACCCATTCGAATTCCACCATAATCAAACAACTACATAATTTATCCTTGAATTATAAATTAAGTGCTAATATTAGGTTACAAAAATGTTGTATTTCAAATACATTTGTGAAACGATTGAAATACGAATGAAACAAGCTTATGAATCTTCCTCAAGAAACAAATGTGTGTGGCAAAGAGGTTCTCTGTCCTTCGGCAAATTCACTGCAACTGAATTCAAGTATAATATAATTATTTATTAAACAAAAGAATCATATCATAAAATTAGATGAATTACGAATGCAACCTCAACCAACTTAAAATGACAACACAAATGTATATGGCGCTCAGAAAGGGTGCATATCATATCATGGATTATCTCATATGTCCAAACATACAATATTGATTTCATCGACATAAAATGGTAGGCAAGGAAGGACTGCATGCCCCAATGTATTGCCGTGAACATACAGCCAGAGCTTTGTAGCAATTAGCCTGGAGGCATTCCTGGTGGCGGAAGTAAAATTTGGGCTCCTAGACCCTTTCCATTTTTCACAATGAACATCACGTCCATGCCCCATGACATATGCCGATCCAGATGGCAGTGTATAAACCAAACCCCCATGATCAAAAAGTAATTGACATCACATGATCAGCATAATTCATTATAACCTGATTAATTCTGAAGTTAAGCAAAGGAACGTCTTCTTGGACTGCCAGTTGTTTGGAAAGGAAGCTTGCAGCCAGTTTTTTTTACTCACGTCAGTCTGTAAGATGCTGTTACTTTTTAATCACATCTGATTGAAGCTTTGATCTATTGTAATAGGTTCTGTGGGCATTTTCGATATATTTCGATATATCTTGAAGCTGTAGCAACCTTACCTATTACTGCAAAGGTCAAGAAACATTGATAACTTAACTGGAAACTACGTTTTCCTTCTTGGGTATGTTCCAATTTCTCCTGAGGCATTAACAAAAAATCAAGACATGCATATATGTAAAACGGTGTTGAAAAAATATGAAATTAAGCATTTAATAGTAGACCATATGTTCTTCTAAGTGACTGCTTCAAGGAAGAAACAAGGAGGGAGCAAGTGCATTTGGTCATATACTGAGCCTAACCCTTGACCTCGCAATAAGAAAACTAGAGTTGCGATTCAATGCCGCGTGAAAGGAAGAAACACGGAAGGAGCAGACGTAAATCCTTTTCTTCAATACATCATTGAGCCCTCTAAACCAAAATTTCACTTATATGTTGAAGGAAGGAAGGATAAAATGGAAAGGATGTTGCATCTCATACTAGGCCATCTCTTCCACAAACTCTCTTGGTTGACCTTAGCTTCATAGTTTTTGTTGGCAGCACTATCCGAAGTCAACAACTCCAAGTCCCCCTGCCAAAAAGAATGTGCTGGAATCTCACAGCACCCTACCCCATTTGGTATTGGGAAAGGATAATGTTCCATGGGAGTGTATTGGTTAATAAACTGCATCAGCTCCTATATCCCGCCAAAGTCATTCTCAGGAAAAAGTAATATTATTGAGGTGGGGCAGCTTTCTCCATCCTAGGTACACGTAAATAACTCAGTTGCTTATAGCTGCAATACCATTAAAATAGGAAGAATATTATTAATGTTGTTGTACTTTAGTCCTACTGGCTACAGCTCCTCATATTGCTGCAACAAATTTGAGTACTATGAGACAATCTCTGACACTGCAAACAAGTTCACAGTCTTACTCATACACATGAGTTGTTGTGAGTGACTACTTTGGTTTTATGAGAGGGTCAACTAAGGTGCACAGTGAATGGGTTAAGGTATGTAACATGATGACCACTATGACTCATCATCATAGGTGGTCTTCTGGTGGTAGTGGCTGTTGCAATTCTTACACTCCCAAAGCCATTAATGAGTCTGTTGTGCTTGAGGCAGGGATTCTAGGAAACATAACTTTGTGGTTTATCATGGGTCAACCAGGTACAGGCTGATCTTTCCTATGTTGATGGTAGGAGATATCAGCAGCACACGACAGGGCAGGACGTGCTCATCAAGTTTCCACAATTCTAATTTATATTCCTACAAAAGAATTGTCTCTATTTGCCTAAACTATATCCAATCCAAGTACTCCCAGAATCCACACAAGTACAAAACTGGAATACCATATAAAAATCAAAATTGGTAAAGGTTCTCTTGACACACAATCGTATATCTATCTATCTATCTATCTATCTATCGGACATATTATGAAAGTCAGTCTATCTATCTATCTTTTGACACTCATCATTATGAAATTTCAAAGATAACCCAGGAATATAATTACCACAGGAAAAAGGAGAAGTGGCTGAGGAGGTTACATCCCACAACATATCAAAGTCTTTCCGGGCCCTGCACAGCTCACCCTAGGTAAGTAAGTCCTCTGCTCTAGAATATAATTGATAAGTGCTATGTTCCCTTCAACATTTACATTTAATGAAATGTAACCTTGCAGGTCTCGGCTCTTGTTTCTCATGTCTTTGTTTGTGATCTCCAGAATTTATTTCAGTGTGAAGAAGCATAAGTTTATTAAGCTAAAATCCAAGTTCTTCCAGAAAAATGGAGGGTTATTGTTAGAGTAGCAAATTGCTTCACATGGAGAGGAGGCACAACAATTTTCACAGCCGAGGAGCTAGAGATGGCTAGATTTGTATTGAAAACAACTGACCTTTCCATTGCGTCTTGCATTAGTGTAAGGAATGCTGCCTATGGACAACAATGATTTTCCAAAATCCTACCCTCTTACTGTGATGTCTCAGACTACCTGCTTCAGCTAATCTCCGGCGAGGAATTCAAGTTTCCTCTCAGAGTTGAAAAGCACAGGCATGAGGAAGGAATTAGATAGAGATTACGATATCAAAAGGGGAACGAATATAGACGGGGGAGTATCGGAAATACAAAGAGATAAAGGAAAACACATAATAACACCCAGCTCAAAATTGAATATGTATAAAATGACATATATATATATATATATATATATATATATATATTTCGAGTATGAAATTACCAAAATGGCATCGATGTCATCCTCAGGTGAGAGCTTCTAGTCTCTATGCGAGCTCTCTTTTCCTCAGATTTCGCTGCTTTCTCTTTGCCATTTCCTGCCTTCTTCGTCTTCTTCCTCATGTCTGGAAACATAGCCAAAGTTTCTTTTTTTTTTTGGTCAATGCCCAATTTATCCTTGAGCTCTCTTCCTTGCCGAGTACAGCCACCACTTGATGCAAGATAGCTTCAGTTGGTTGGTGAGAGTTGTGCAGGGCCTTGGAAATAGGTTGCCATTTTTCACCATGCTTTGGTTGTGAAGCAATGCATCTTCGCAAAACATCCTTCTGGTTCTCATCAGTCCCATGCTGAAGTTCAAATTTGAAGTACAAAGCCCAGAAATCCCCAATATCTGGGGCAATTGTGACGGCCCTGTCGAGCCAAGTCCTAGCTCTCTTAGCCTTATTGCGATGCCAGAATAACTTGGCCACAGCAGCAATGACATGGGGATCGTAATCACATTTCCTGAGGGCATCCATAATCTTGGCCATCCATTGAGAAGGGGGTAGGGGTACCATACTCTCAATATATGCTGCCCACAAGATACCACTATTGGGACACTCGTGCAGAGCCCTCGCCATCAAAATATCAGCTTCCTTGTTATTACCATGCCTCAATTCAGTTCGAGTTGCAGCAAGCCACAGTTGAGGGTTGTGAGGATTTTTGTTCCTGGCTAGTGTGAGGACTGCACGAGCACTAGTCACCCCATTCAAATTCTCTTCAAGATTAGCAAGAGAAAGCCAGAGCGGTATAGAATTGGGGCAGTGCTTCAGCCCCAAGTCATAAGCCTCCTTGGCTTTTTCCAAACGATCAAGCCGTTCCTCTAGCTGTCCAAGCATCAACCACAATTTAAAGAACGAAGGAAATTTCTTCAACCCTTCATCAAGCAATTTCCTCTCCTCTTCAACATTCCCTAATCCTCTCTCAACAATTGCTGATTTCATCCATACTCTCTCTGTGCCTCCCCCGCTTTCTCGGGCTTCGGCAAGAATCATTCTAGCTCTCTCAGGTTCACAAGACAAGTTCATGCTCTGCCTTGCATTTGCATTTGCATTTGCATTCTCCTCCTCCTCCTCCTCCTCCTCCTCATTCGATTTCGCGGCAGTGGTGAGCTCAACCACCGCCTTCCGCAGCAGAACGGAATCAGGAATGTGTTGCAATCCTCTAATCAAAACCCTGCTCTTATTCGAGTCATCATGCTCCAAATTTGCAGCCTGCATCCACAACTTCACCGAATTGGGTATCAACTTCAATCCATGGGCAATCACAGCCTTACCTGCTTCATTGGAATTGGGGCTGCTCCTCGCATTCGCAATTGCAATCGCAATCCTACACGCCTCCAACCACACATCCACACTATTTGGGCACTCCTCACATCCTTTCTGAATCAATTGCCTCGCTGCCTCCATTTCCCCAGCGTCCTCCTCCAACCTCGCATATGCAATCCAACAAAGTGGCTGCTTAGGGTTCCTCTCCGTCACACTCTTCATCAACCGTCTACCGTTCTTTATCGCATCCCTTTTTACCTCCTCCATACTACCAGTAAGATCGATTACCCTGACCTGAAACAAAATCGGAGTATGAATTTCAATGACAAAGCCACCGTCTCTATCTTTATCTCGTTCTCTTTAAAAAACCACCGACGACCGAATTAGGAAAATTGACTTTTGCGTGTGTGCTTCTTGTGTCTCTGTTTTTTCTTCTCGTATATATTGTGTATTTATAGGCGGCTCTCAACTGGTGTTTCTCCTTTTCTGAAAAGGAATTCTTTCTTTTCCTTTCCGACTTCTATTTTATTTTAATCACTTTTAACAAATTGTATTCTGAAATGATCACGTTACAAATTGTATCCAGATATTATCACATTGGGACGTGAAATTACCTAAGTGCCCTCCGTATAAAAACATATCTATTGTGGAGTTATTGGCCATTGATTGGCGACCTAACACTTCTGACTTCTCTCTGTCTCAGCTGTCTCTCACGGTTCTCTCTTCCTCTCTCGGCGCTCTCTCTCCATCGACCACCACCACTCTCTTTCTCCCTCTGTCGCGAAAACCTAAGCAGCACTCTCTCGTTCTCTCTCTGCAGTCAAAGTCAGGGTTTGTTGAGGGGGTTCCTGAAGGTGAAAGAGAGCATTTCTTCGTTAAATGCTCTCTCCCTTCAACAATGTCTCAGTTCCCTCTCTTTTCATGTCTTCAATCGACGTCTTTCTCTTCACCTCTGCTCCTTTAGGGCCTCAAAAACCCTAATTCTTGGTTTCGGTTTCGACTTTTTTCACATACTTCCTCCTCATTCTCAATCCTCTCACAGACAAAACTCGTGCTTTTCGTTAGGTGTTTCTGGGATTTCCAATTCGGTCCTCTGCGCAAAACGAGTGATTCTAAGGTGGGTTTTGTATTTGTTATTGACTAGTTTGTGTTTTTGTATCCTTTTCATTTGAAAAGGATAATTTCACTAACCTGTGACTGATTTTGTGAAGTTTAGTAATTAGAGAGATTGGAAATTTCTGTATTTTAACTGTGAATTACTTCATGCTTGGATGAAACTTCTATTGGTCTGATTGATTCTGCTCTATGGACGAAGAAGTGCCTCAATTTGCTATTTGTCATCTAGGTTAGACCCTTCTTTGCTATTAATCTTTGTTTGATCAGATTGCGGTTGGGTTGATGGTCTTTCAACAATTGGGGGGAATCAATGGGGTCTGTTTCTATGTCAGCAATATCTTTGAACAAGCGGGTAGAAAGAAAGAATAGCTTGGCATTCTTGCACTACTACAATCTATGTTTTCAGTATCTACCAACTTTAATGTACCTTTCTGTATATACTTCAGGATTTTGTTCCAGCGTTGGAACTTTAACTTACGCTATTCTTCAGGTTCTAAATCTCTACTGTGACAGATCTTTTAATTTTTTTCCACTAAAGCATCTTGATGCGGTTCTGTTTTACATTACAGGTTGTGGTTACTGGCGTTGCTGCATCTGTAATGGATAAAGCCGGACGAAAGCCTCTAATTTTGGTAAATAGGTGCACAGTTTTTGTTCTGAGAATTCGCTGAGATAAGTTGCTATTCACATTCAGAAGGTTTAACTTTTTCCAATTTATTCTAGGTGTCTACGTCATGGTTGGTACTTGGCTCTCTCCTGACTGCCATTTCATTCTTCCTAAAGGTAATCCTCAATCAGTGACACCCTAACGTCTCTCTGTTTAGGTTTATCCAACATAACATGACGAAAAGCTCTTTGTGAACCAGGTTCATGAATTGGCACTCACGGCAACTCCCATACTTGCTGTAACTAGCATACTAGTAACTGATGAGCCTTGTCGAAATATATTATCCACGCAGATCGTTCTCTTTTAACATTGAGTTTCCATTTTTTCTCTTATATTTCTTTAACAATTTGTTTCTGGATTCAGATATATATAGGATCCTTCTCATTAGGAATGGGAGCAGTTCCTTGGATTGTGATGTCTGAGGTATATAAAATTTGCAACATTTAGTCATCTAACCGTCCGTAATCGATCATGTCACCGATCTGAATAAATTTCCATCTGCTGCAGATATTCCCTATAAATATTAAAGGGCAGGCTCGAAGCTTTGCAACTTTAGCGAACTGGCTTGGTGCATGGTTGTGTTCCTACACTTTCAACTTTCTTATGAGTTGGAGCTCCTATGGTAAATACCTTTTCCTTTTCTTATTATAAAAACTAGAGAGTAATATTTAGTAGAGTTAATTTATAAAGCAAATCTGATTATACATGGTAATAACTCATTACATGTCTCTATTTTCAGGTACCTTCATTCTGTATGCAGCCATCAATGCTCTGGCTATATTGTTCGTGATCTTGATGGTACCGGAAACAAAAGGGAAAACCCTGGAATAAATCCAAGGAGACATTAATGAATAGAGAAGTGAAGGAAGAATTAAAAAAGAAAACAAATGAAGAGCATTTTTTGTGGTCATTCGTTGTCGTTGAAAATTTTGACAGCACAGTGCAGCACATTGGTTGATGGAATCTTGAGAGAGGCTTCCAAACCACAAAAATATTGTACTGCTACTGTTTACCCCACAAAAACATTGCCCCTACTTCCTTTTCATTTGTTGCAATGACTGTTTGGCATTGATTGGTTTATTTATTTTGCTTTTGTTTTTGCCCCTGGTACTGTATTCATGTCCTTGTTTACTGGTTCCCTTTTTGGGGTTTTCAAAGGTGTAGCTTTGGTGGTTTTCAATGCCACTGCTAGTGCATCTTCTTCTTATTTCTTGTCAAAGTTGATAGGGAGGCCCATTGTCTTCTCTCTTTAGCCTGACAAGCTGCAGTTTTTCCAAAACCAGGTAAATTCAAATGTCTCCATATCTCTCATTGATACTAACTTCAAAAATAGGAGTAAGTCATTTATTTTTTCTTCCAGGTGGCTAAAAGAAGAGAGGGACTTTTGAACTACATGTTGTTTCTACGATTGACTCCAACCTTGCCAAACACGTTTATTAATCTTGCTCCACCAATAGTGGATGCACCCTATCATATTTTCTTCTTGGCAACCATAATTGGTCTGATACCAGCTGGTTATGTCACTGTCAGGGTATGTGTCTTTCACTTCTATGAAAATTTTGGGTTAAGTTATGAAGTTCAATTGTGGTCTCAGAACATCACTAGGAATTATCAGAACTCTACTCAAATCCTGAAGGATTCTATGCTCAAATGACACAAAATAAAAATCACACCTGCAAAAACAGATATTATTGTTATTTTTTGAATAGAGGAAGATCATTATACCTTCATCTCTGTCATCTCAATCCGCACTGTTTACTCATGCAGAAAAAGATAAAATCGTCTTTAGCAATATGGTTAGTTTTCTAATTTCGGAAGAGAAAGCATCAATTTTGGAGAATGGTTTTTATTTTGGTTAATTTCACGAAGTGGTTGGAGCTCAAACCACCTGCCACCAACATGTTAAGGTTTTGAGATAGAGTTAGACCTAATCTATGAAGGACAATTATAATGGTGATTTATCTGAGTTCTCTTGCGTTCATAATGTACTCTAAGTATCACTGGTTATGCCTATGTATCTCTGACTCTACTTTTCCCTCACGCTGGATTAGCTCTTGGAGAGTTGCGATCCTTTGGGGATCTCTATGATTTCAACTCAATAGCCAGTTGTCTCAGTTACTCCCACGTTAGTGGCATCAGTCCGCATTTGAAGATTACTGCCTTTGTCGGATCTCCATTGGATAAGATTATATGCTGAAGGCGTATGCTTGGATGAAATTTCTTGACTGTCATGGTTTACTGCATTGGTTGGTGTGGTTGGGTGTAAATGTGGAATGTAACTTCATTTTCAGTGTCAAGAATGTCTCCAATTTCACAGGGTATGTATATCATTCCCAGGAAAAATGTGAGGGGAAATTTTTGATATAATCACTTTCTGTTTCTTGCTGCAGTTTTGTCTTGACAATTTCTTTTTCTGTCTCTTTTTCTCTTCAGATTGCAGAAGGAAAAAAAAAAGCCGCACCCAACTCGGTTAACAGTTACACAATGTGTTTTAGCTGGTTTGTGTAGGCACTGATGTGCAAGTCATACACTGGCGTTGGGGACAATTTTGTGCATAATGTAATGAGTGTAGCCAATGAGTTGTTTGACCTACCTTCTGAAGACAAAAGCAAAGCTTCTATTATTGAAATGCTAAGCAACCTTGCAGCAGATTGTACACATCATTGACGATGCTTGTTATTATTAGGTCCCAATAATTAGTAAAGACATCTAAGACAACGTGTATTCTTTTTGTGGACCCGTATTTTTATGACATTTTTGTAATTTACTTGATATTGTTTTTTAGGTCATTATTATAATGAGATGAAATTTTCGGACATGGGTATTGATTTTTTATGTACTATTTATTTTATATAGCAACTAAATATTGTAATAGTTCAACAATTAGAACATTGTATAATCTAGAAAACTAAGAGCATCCACAGTGGGGGGTGTAAATTCGGGAGTGTAAAGCCACTTTTACATCCCCTTTACACCTCCGGGGGGTGTAAATATGTTTTTTGCTCTAGTAGGGGGTGTAAATTCGGGGGTGTAGCCGTGGGTCCCAACCTTTTATGTTGACTTTTCTTCATTTTTCTTCTCTTTTCTCAGGTGGGTCCCGCCTGCAAAGGATGTAAAAATGGATGTAAATATACATTTTATTTTACATCCCCATGGTGGTGATGTATATTTACATCCATTTACATCTCACTATTGGAGACCATTCCGGTGACTCGGGGTGTATATTTAACATACACCCCCCCACTGTGGATGCTCTAACTACAAAGACATTCATAAGGTACTTGTTTATTGTATTTTTATTGCTTTCGTATTGCTTGTCTATTGCTACTTTATTACTTGTTTATTGCTACTTTATTACTTGTTTATTGCTTTAGTATTGATTTTGTATTGCATGTCTATTACCCCTTCATAATCTACATGACATTATGTTGCGTAGATACAGCTGCACCAAAATGGATTCAGCTGCATCCTCAACTTGTGATACTCACAAGGGCACGAGCCGTTCGGTAGTATAGCGTATGTAAGTGCGAGGTCGATCCCACGAGGATTGGTGATTGAATGATCCAATTCATTTTCCCTACACAAAACAGAAATGAAAAAAAAGCAAGGAAATAAATAAAACAAGGAAGAAATAAATAACTAACTCAAGCAGATAAGTTCCCAAGTTCAATTAGATTATCGGATTGATTCTAGCTCAAGCATGATTAAGCCATGGTGTTTGGTCATAACCTTGTGTTCCTAATTCCCTAATTTGATCATTTGTTGTCTAACCTAAAATTAAGCATTAGGAACCCATTAAGCATAGAAGAACAATTTAAACAACCAAGCATGTATCTAATCCCTGTTGTCGAATGTCCATACATACTCTTCCTATTCATAGTTCAATTCGAATTAAAGCATGGTGTATACTCTTAATTCAAACCAAGATAGCTAACATGCAAGCCTAAATGGTGATCAATCATTCAAACTAGCATATTAACTTATAAGCATAATGAATAAGAACATGAACCATAATTGAAACTTGGAAACTAATCAAACTTGAAACTAAAGAAAAGAATTTACATAATGAAAAGTAAAGTGGAACTAAGAAAAACTTAAGGAAAATTTCGGCACAAAAGATTTCATTACAACAATTGAAAACTACAAAGAGAAACTAAGAGAATTTGAGGGAGAGAAGGGAAGGGAGCTCTAGAGAAGTGTTTGAGAGCTCCCCCCCCTT